TTTGTGTTGAAAGGAGGGTCTACCCCCCCCCCCCCCCCTGTTTACTCTTTAGCTGTATCCAAGTGGAGGGGATTTTTCACTTCCTGTCCTGGAGATGCAATAGGAATTAAGAAAATGTCTCAGTGGGGGAAATAACTCTCTTAAGGGGCCCATACACCTTGTGATTTATCATTTGATTTCCGAACGCAAGCGGGTTGTTGTACGATAATCGGCCAGTTGATAGGAAGTGAACGATCAGAATTACTGTACAACTGGCTGAATTGCCTCGATGGGTCAGGCTAGAATTTTTTTTTTCAAATCATACGAAAATCGATGGATTAGCAGCGTTTTTGTACGTAAAAAAAATCGCACCATGAACACTACACATGCGCAAACAAAAATCCGTTCTGTCAATCGAAAAAATTCGGTCAGTTAGTATTGCTAATGAACAATAATTGAAATCCACATTGGTCTGTGCGTGATGGGGCAGTCGTGCGGAAATCGAACAACTGTCCGATGACCAGACAAAAAAATTGTATGATCATTGTAAGGTGTATGGCCACTTTAAACAGTTGTCACTGAAACAGGTGCCCCTGTTGGAGGATTTCCCATCACCTTCTTCTGTCTTAACTTTACACGAGTTTAGTTCTGTTCATTCACTGCATCCGTGGGACTGACTGTTCAGCAACACAGTTGATCATTTAAAGTGGAGAAGGAGCAGGCAGGAATGTGATTTGTTAGGTAAAAAACCGGCACTTGCAAGGGGATCCGTCCATCCAGGGGCTATGACTAAGGCCCAGTTTGGGGCTGAAACAAGTAAGCATTTGTTTGTTTGCAGCTGTTATGCCTTTTAACAAATAAAGTGTTGGATGGACGGATCCCCTTGCGAGTACCGCTTTTTTACCTATTAAACAGTGAAGGCTCTGGCGGAAGCTTTACCAGGCACCGAGGTTTATGCAGCGGGATTGGAGACGAGAGTAGAGCTGCTCAATATATCTAAACTGCAGCAATGTGATTGTGTGCCCCAATGCACACGTACAGCATGTAAAGGAAATATTAGTGAATATAACAAAATTCTAGGAAATACTTGTCTTATGTAAACTATCAATACATAAACTATTACCCTTTCCCTGGTAATGTATTTCCCTTAATCAGGGCTGAAGAACTCCTGGTGCTAGGTTGCCGAGGCGACTGAAAAAAACCTCTCTGGCAGTTGGGTCACCACCACTTTTAGGGTTAGTTCACACCATAGGCAGTGCGTTCTGGTCCGATTTCTGGCCGGAAAGCACTGCCCGGATTGCGGCCGGCTCACTTTTTTACCGGGCTGGAGGGGGCGTGGACGGCCATTGAAGTGAATGGCACGGTAGCCACGCCCTGCGGCCGCAATGCGATCGCCCGCACCGGATCGCAAGGCACATTGTGCCTGCAGTGCTGTCCGGTGCGGTGCAATCAAAATAGTGCTTGGATTAGTGATTGCGTGGCGGCCGCAGTGCGTGGCTACGGTGCCCTTCACCTCAATGGCCAGCCCTGAAAAAGCAACATGGCTAGTACTGGGGCCAGCACCTTTGTGAACATCCGAGGTGCAGAAGAGAGTCGAATGACAGGGCCATGAACTGAAAGTGCAGGGGACCAACAGCAAAATGTTGGAAGTGCTGGGCATATGGGGACATGTAAATATACACTATACTGCCAAAAGTATTGGGACGCCTGCCTTTACACGCACATTACTTTTATTGGCATCCCAGTCTTAGTCCGTAGGGTTCAATATTTAGTTGGCCCTCCCTTTGCAGCAATATCATCTTCAACTCTTCTAGTAAGGCGTTTACAAGGTTTAGGAGTGTGTCTATGGGAATGTTTGACCATTCTTCCAAAAGCACATTTGTGAGGTCAGGTACTGATGTTGGAAGAGAAGGCTTGGCTCGCAGTCTCCGCTCTAATTCATCCCAAAGCTGTTCTATTGGATTGAGGTCAGAACTCTTTGCAGGCCAGTCGAGTTCCTCCACCCAAACTCGCTCATCCATGTCTTTATGGATCTCGCTTTGTCCACTGGTGCGCAGTCATGCTGGAACAGGAAGGGGCCATCCCCAAACTGTTCCCACAAAGTTGGGAGCATGAAATTGTCCAAAATGTCTTGGTATGCTGATGCCTTAGGGAGTTCCCTTCACTGGAACTAAGGGGCCAAGCCCAACCCCTGAAAAACAACCCCACACCATAATCCCCCCTCCCCCAAACTTTACACTTGGCACAATGCAGTCAGGCAAGTACCGTTCTCCTGGCAACCGCCAAAACCAGACACGTCCATCGGATTTCCAGACAGAGAAGCGTGATTCATCACTCCAGACAACACTTCTCTAGAGTCCAGTGACAGTGTGTTTTACACCACTGCATCCAACGCTTTGCATTGCACTTGGTGATGTAAGGCTTGGATGCAGCTGCTCGGCCATGGAAACCCATTCCATGAAGCTCTCTACACACTGTTGTTGTACCAATCTGAAGGCCACACGAAGTTTGGAGGTCTGTAGCTATTGACTCTGCAGACAGTTGGCAACTTCTGCGCACTGTACACTTCAGCATGCGCTGACCCCGCTCTGTCATTTTACATGGCCTACCACTTGGTGGCTGAGTTGCTGTTCTCAGTTGCTTCCACTTTGTTATAATACCACTAACAGTTGACCGTGAAATATTTAGTAGCAAGGAAATTTGTGGTAGGAACCAGTGGACAGTGTGAATTTTTAAAGTGCCCACTGAACAGAACAGATAAAGTAGGTCCCGACGCTCAGCCTCAGTGAGCCGTTAGAAACAGGGCAAGCGCTGAGGCATTGCACCTGGTAAGCAAAATGCTTCAACTACAATTTACCAGCGATTTAGCCAAGCCACAAAAAGTCAGTTATTTGTAAAATTATGGTGAGCAATGTTTTTTAAAATAAATTGTTTTAGTGATTTTTTTTTTTGGGGGGGGGGGGTTTTCTACAAAAAAAATGTATTTTATGAAATGTTTGCCTGCTTTGGGTATTTATTCTTTCTGTAATTTGGTCTGGTTTTAGTATGGGATGTCAGACCAAGAATGACCCAAGTAATAAAAAATCTAGGGGGATATTTATCAAGCAAATTAGCTAAGTAATTGGTCACTACTTAGGCTGCCTCTCAAAGGTCTCTGCTACAGGTTTACAGTCCTGTGCATTTGTTTTGCTGGGTAGCCAAGTGCGACAGTTTGCAAAGTTCTAAAGCTGGCCATACACCTATAGATTATCTGCAGATTTTCTATGGTCAGATTCCTCCATCTACGCTAAACTGTGTGGATGGAGGAATCTCTCATTGGGCCAAGCTTCAGCTAGTTGGCCTCGCCCAGCTAGATGGAGGAATCTGTTGTACTTTTTCCATTTGACCATAGAAAATCTATAGGCGTATGGCCAGCTTTAGACAGATGTATTACTGAAGATGAGGCAGTCAGGTGATTAAGAAGTGGTCAGGGTCAGGTTTTTATCCTGTCTGCAACTTTAGAGCAGCTAAGGAATTTATGACTCAAGCTGTAACCTTGTCATAAATCTGTCAATCTGTCTCACTGCCCCTGTTTAGCACTGCTTTGTCTCCTCAGCCAATCATCTTTTTCCCTTTGCCCTAGCAATTTCTTGCACAATTTCATTCACTCGCCAAATTTAGCTGGTGAAGGTGCAAATAGAGATTTATTTCTTGGTGTGTTGCTAACATTTTGACATACTCATTCCATAACTATTTTACCTATTAAATGTAAACACCTGGAAATATTACAAATTACATTCATAACAATATTAAAGTAGAGTAAAGTATTAATAGTATATAAATAGTCGGGACATTCAAATAGAGTACAATATGCCCAACACAAATACCTCGGATTTGTCAATTCATGACAAAACCCCTAGAGCGGAAGAAGGTGTGGAAACAGGCAATATAACTCCAATACCTTCAGGCCCATTAAATCCTCTTGAGTAGCCAACCTTTTTTAGAACCAAGGCTCAAGCTAGATCAGAAGAAAACAGGTAATCTGGACTCATTCCTCCTGTCAGCAGGGATGAAGAGCACTTGGAAATAATTAACTTATCAAACCATACACTTACGGAGCCAGAGGCTGATGTCCTCAAGCTTGGACTGAGTTTTTGTTCAGCTGAGGATATGGACGTCTTTGACACGGTCAAGGACCTCCATCTCTTCACTCGAAACTTATTGTTCAAAGTCATATATAACAAACAGAAACCCCAAGGAACAATTCAAGAGGACTTGGAAAGATGGAAGGATTATAATATCAGGGACTTTAAAGCTCTCCGCGACCTTATGGAACTATGGGAGGAAGGACAGGTGGAAACCTCTCGGGGGGGAGAACCAAGAAGAGGGTACTGACATCGGAGAATTGGAGGTTACACCTACAATATATAGAAAGAAATCACGGAAATTTACGTACAAATCCCAATATATGGGCTTTTGTTCAACAAGTAAGCAGGGACTTGGAAAGTACAACAATAAAAAGAGGTGACAGAAGGAAACTAAATAGGAAACCAGAGACTAGCGATTAATAATCTTGAAAATAAC